AGGTTGTTGAAAATGAGCAATTTACAAGGAAATACCGCATTGCACCAAATAATTCTAATCATATAAATGTAGTGACATATCTATTTGGACAACGGTTTGACATTATCAATAGTTACAATGCTATCAAGAGTCCAATTTTTCTTGCTATCAAGAGAAAATACATAGATATTGCAAAGATATATAGTTCAACCAATTATTTCCTTTTTAGACCTTTCATGTGTTGTCACATATCCTCTAGTAGGCTTAGTTAAAGTTAAACATGCATTTTACAATATAATTTAACTAATGTTTTTCACAAATGTTTTGGGGGTCAAGCCCTATGAAAGCCTCACAAATGGTCCGACCATGCTTGTAGTGTAAATTGGAAAAATTGCATGTGGCAATGGCTAGTGATTCTGCTTGCTAAAAAACTTATTTTATTTATTTTTCAATTAATTCGTCTAGCTTTTGTGTTTATGAATGATTTACGTCAGATGCACTCAAATTACGAATTATCTTAATTGCATTGAGGAAATCATGGGAAGCTGTAGAAACTTCAAAGTAGAGCCCCTCTTAGGTTATAGGCCAATAATTAATCCAAGTAATTTTGATATGATCATGATCTATGCTCTATAGATGCCTTTAACTTTCATTTACATGATTTTTTGACGAAATTGGAAAGATTGACCATTATTTTAGAAAGGAGTGCTCATGCACCTCTAGTTCTAAGGGTGAGCAAAAATTCCGAGTACCTAGAATTGGAACTGGAATTAGTTAGGAACAGGAATTAGACCCAGTGGTTCCAATTCCGGGTAATAAATTAAGGACCCGGTTGCAACCGATTCCGATTTCAATTCTCAATTTTTTTTAGAATCGAAACCGGTTGGGTACTTGGTTACCCAACATATATGAATGAACTAAATATATTTATAAAAAAAAAAAATGTTGAACGTATCTAATTAGTAATATAAAAATAAATAGTATTAATATCTAATATAAACAAAATAGCTTAATGCAAATAAAAATATAAGTATTAAATGCTAAAAATGAAAATAAACTAAAAAAAAATTATAATTTGTACTTTATATTAGCAAATATGTATATAAGTGGGTATCCGGAATCGGAACTGGTACCCGGTAGAACCTATTCCAATTCCTAAATTTTAGGACCCGGTTGTATCGGTTCCAATTCCGGTTTCGAATTTTAGGACCCGATCCCAACCAATTTTGGGTCTGGATCCTAAAATTTTAACTGGGTACCCGATTTTCTCACCCCTATCTAGTTCTCTTTTGTAATTGTGAGATTTCTGATCTAAGGTCGGAAACTTAAGGCTAGGTAGAAGTAAAAGGGTACTTATTGTAAGATATTACATTCGGGTATCACAAGTCATTATTGCAAGTCCTACAGCAAGGGATTTAAGTCTCTATATGGCCTATGGTGGCCACTGACCATAGAGAGACTTTCTTGCATTTTTTTTTTGGTGAAAGAACCTCGAGGAAGTATAAATCAAGGGTTGTGAGACAATTGAAAATGTCTCACAACTATTAAAATAATATAAAAGTGTAAGTGTGGGGAATATTTCAAGCGTTAATCCCCTAGCTTGAACCCCACTGTGATCATACACTAAAGTACGGTGGCGTCCAAAAGGGAAGAAAATAGAGCAAAAGATTCGCCAACAAGTTTTTTAGGAACTTGTAAACCGTTCACGAGGTGAAGGTTACACCCCTTAACGATCCAAGAGATCGTCAACTCCATAAGGTCTTGAACCAAATAGGGTTCGGGGATGAAGGTACAAATCCAACCTAAAATAGATTGAACCTGCCCTAATAATAGGCCTCTACTTTATTCTGATTGTATTCATGTGCGCTTTTTGACTAACATGCAATCAATAGGATTAACCCTAAACTTGTTTATCTATGTTGGTTGAATATAAATGCACAAACAAATCTATTATTGGCGATCACTTGAATTATAATCAAATTAACCCTAACAAGATTATTAATTATCTTATTAAGCGTGATTACAAGTACCAATTCCCATTAAACATGCATAAAAGGTGTGATCAAGCAATAACAATAAATATATCAAGCAACATAATAATCATCATTAAAACAATAACAATAATAGAATTATAATCATAATAAAAAAAACAACCATGATAATAATAATAACAATATATTCATAATCATGTTAAAGCATGATAAAAATAGCAAGATCCTAAGCATGATACTAATAAGATTAATAACAAACCCTAGCATGTCACTAAACAATAAAAATCAAATATATAGCCCTAACATGATACTAACAATCATAAATATTAGGAAAGAAAATAGAAGACATCATACTTTTAATCATACTTGATATTAAATTTACCCTAAACATGATACTAGGAGTCATAATAACAACCTAAGCATGAACTCTATATCATAACATCAATAAAAACCATTAAAGTACTTACTTTGATGCCTCGTACCTCTTTCTAATAACAAAATACACACGTTAGTAACTTCAAGGAAAATAATAAAATCAAAGAATTAAATAATAATAGAGATTTGGGACCAAACCTTCAAAAATTAAACCTTTCACGTCTAGGGCGAAGGCAACTTTGAATATGGATAGGTGTATCTAGATCTAATGAATGCGGAATTTTGTATTTGAGAAAAGGCTAGTTTAGAAAATAGAAAGAGAGAAAGAATAATCAAGAGAATCTTGATGAGAGTTGGTGAGAATTGAATGAGAGAGAATTGATGAGAATTGATAGATTGTAGGTTTTAGATGATTGTTGATGAATGAAAACGGAGTTTTTACGACGTTGTTTATAAAGAAAATCAGCCAAAAAGATAAAATATCAAAAACAGAGTTCTGACGCAAAAAAAACCGTGTTGGCGCCAGACGCTGACCTTAGCGCCAGACGCTAAGGTTGGCGCCAGGCGCCAATCGTAGCGTCAGACGCTACAACTGGAGTTTGGCGCTGACTCAGAAATCCACGCGTTTTTATTAAAATCAGATAAAAATTGCCGTACAGGAGGATAAAATCATATTTTTCCTCAAAAATGCTCTTTGATTCTAATTAAAACTCTAAAAAGTCAACAAAAGTCAATTTATCAATGCTAATTGAATTAGGAATGAAAAGAACCTTCTAGAAGAATCTAGAAAACTAAAACCATTCCTAATAGCATTAGGAATGATAAATCTTTATTAGGCCCTCCTTTAGATCATTGGGCCGCATATAAGGCTCAAACCAGGCCCAGTTCAGTAAATTGGCCATAACTTCCTCAATATTCATCGGAATTGGGCATATAATATATCGTTGGAAAGATCTTTTCAAGCCCTATCCAACTACACTACTATTGGACCCATATCATGGACCATCCAAACTGGATTGGCTGTTTTCTTAAAATAGGTTTTCAAAAACAGAGAGAAGAGAAAAGAAATTAAAACTTTCCGCAACACTAAACTTTCCACACTTTCACTTCATTCGATTATGATTCGACGCGAAAGGTACTCATCACTGGGTTTGGTTTTGGGGAGACACAAATGGGTGTCTACAGTAAGGAAGAGAGAAAGGAGGAGAGAGATAGGAAAAGTGAAAAAGATTGGTGTGGGCCCCACTAAAGCTTTTCAGACACATATCACGTGCAAAAATGGAAAAATTTTTTTGGGGACCACTACCACTGAGTTTATATTTTGTTCCACTAAAACTCCAGTGGGGCTTTTTGAAGTACCACTCAGGCTATATTTTGTACTACTGAGAGTGTAATTTGTACCACTGAAACTCCAGTTATATTATTTGATAATTCAATAAGATAACTTTAAACTGACGCTTGAAATACCTATATTACCCTTGTGATACATAATTTTACCGTCTCTCAACCTTGCCTTTGTATAACCTCAAAGAACCTCTATTTGATAGAAAGATTCCATTGTTATCAAGTAGTAGATGATGCACTTTAGCCCATAATTTTTGAAGAGGTCATTTGCTATCACCAGACGTTTTAACTTATTGTGACTCATAAAATTAATAGAACTAGATCCTCTAATACAATTAGATGACTGATTTTGTGACTTAGTATTATATAATCATTAGTCCAATGTGTGTCGATCTCCTTATTCTCATCAGTACGTGCAACTTATCAATGGGCACTCAAAACGTACTTAAATTAGTACACTCAAAACCTTAGCATACAATGGGGAAATACTAGTGTATCAGCCTGATCGACTTAATATGCACATTAGGTGGCATTTTCGGTAAATGTATCAAAGTGCTTGTGGTAAATATATAACTTTACACGGATGGTGGTCACACGGAAGTTTGCACTGAAATTTGTTGACTAACAGCCAAGTTAGTCAAACCATTAACGATATTCTCTGTCGTTTCTTCACTTCACTTTACCAAACTGAGAACCCCCAAATTAATTGTGACCTAGGATCATCTTCTCCGATATCGCCAAAAATTTTGAAATCCTTAGTGGCTTTATACACGACAAATTAAGATGTGGTTTCATGTAATTGGGTTCTTCTCGGACCCAATTTACAATTAAATAAAGCCGTCATTGTGATTAGGGAGCTGCATTTTGCCGAGTTCATCTTCTCCGAAGTCTCAAAAGATTGGAATTTTAGTAGGTAGTTAATACACGACAAATTAAGATGTGGTTTCATGCAATTGGGTTCTTCTCGGACACCAATTACAATTGAATAATCGCGTCATTGTGCTTTAGGAGTTGAATTTTGCGGAAGTCAATTTCAATTAGGGCTTAACTGAAATTGGGATCGCAGCACTGCATTTCGGTTCTTCTCCGACCTATTTCAACTAGGCCTGAGAAAAACTATCTGATTATCCGATAATCCGAAGATCCGATCCGCACCCGATCCGAAAATTTAGGGTAACCGATCTGTAATTTTCGGATATCGGATCGGATGTCGGATTTCGAAAATTTGAATTTCGGTTATCCGAATATCCGAAAATAAAGTCGGATATCGGATTTCGGATCGGATATCTGATCCGATATCCGAAAATTACTTTTTTTTTACCCATATTTTAAAGTTCAAATATTATCCATATGCCCAAATGCCCAACAGCCCAAGCCCAACAAAATCTCAACTTACCCTAATTTCAAATCCGCCTCTTTGCTCTTTCTTCTCACTTTCTCAGTTAGTCTTTCAGTTTCTCACGTACTCCTCTCTTAGTCTTCTCTGAGTTCTTCTCAGTCTCTCCTCTCTACTCCTTTTCTCGATCTCCGACCACCCTCTCCCACCAGAAGCGGCGCCTCACTCATCCACCAGAAGCGGCGCCTCACTAATCCACCAGAAGCGGCGATGCCCCTCAGTGCCCTCACTCCTTCACGGCTTCACCAGAAGCGGCGCCCCTCACTCCTCCACCAAGGTAATTAACCGTTTTCCTTTTCCTCTTTTGAATTTTTGATATAATTTATTATTTTAATTAGTTAATTTGGTTTTCAAAATTCTATTGTTCTGTTCTTTTGCTTCTTCTTGATTTTTAGGTTCTATTAATCTATTGTTGTTGATTAAATTTGGGGAAAACGTTAGACATATGATTATCTTATGATTATCTTATGATTAATCTATAGTTTAATTTCTGCATCTTTTTTTGTTTTTATTTATCTTATGATTATCTAATATTTTGATCTCATATTTTGTAGAGTTGTTGACTTGCCGTATGCTCATACTTTGTTGAATGTTAATCCGCTATCGGTTTCCGGCGTTGATGACTTATTTTTTAGTATAAGATAAAATGCATGTATTGTTAACTATTTGGACATTAATGTATTTGGACTTTAAATTTTCTTTGTCATATAATTTGTACTTTTGTAGCAGTTATCTAATTAGTTTGCATTTTGGCAAATTGGCAACCATGGCAGGTTATTTGTATTTTGTTATTTTATTATTTTGTTTTTTTTTCTTCTGAAAATTACTAAATTAGTTGTGGACAATATTTACAAGTCCATTTTTTTAATAGGATAATTATTTTAAATAGGATAATTACACATCTATTTTCTCTCTCTTTGTTCAGGTTGTGAGTAACATGAGGAGAAAATGGGAAAAAAAAAATTCAATTTTGCCATTTAAAACAACTCGTAATCAAAGTAGTCAAATACAGTCCGGATTTTCGGATATCCGAAATTTTCGGATCGGATACAAATAGCAAATATACGTATTTTCGGATACGGATATCCGATCCGAAATCCCCTTTCGGATCAGATATCCGATCCGTGATCAGGCCTAATTTCAACCATAAATTAAACTCGCTAACAGCTCTGCTGCGTATATGCCAGGGTGGAATCACTGTAAGTTGTTCACTGGTCTGCCTCGTGCCGACTTTATTTAACATCAAAATCAACTAATTGCATAATTACGATTTTGTAAAATTATCAATTACAATGCAATGTTATGATGCATTAATGTTGCATTTCCTAATTGCAAATTTGTTTGTTATATATGGACAAAGTGTTGGAATATAAGAATGCATTGATGGTGTAATTGTTGATTGCTGATTACTGGTTGTATGCTTTAATTACTGGTTGATGATTGCTGATAAAATATTTGATTACTGGTTAGCAACATCGATAGTGGGTCTGATTGAAAAAAATTGCGATTTTTCTGTTAATGTGTGAAGCTAACGACGTTAACTGCCGAGTTGTATGGCCCACAATAACGGCACAATTCCATCCGTTAGCAATAGATGTACACATAAATACAATAATATTATATTATCAGGTACATTTTGTGGCCTACTAAAACGTCTGATTGACAAAATTTTGCCAATCAGCCTGATTACCTAGGTCTGGCTCGCATACAATTGACTTTATCTCAAAATGGTTGAAACACTTGACTCCCCAAGTCCATAACAATTACAAGTGTATTTATAACCCAAAGATAGATTATTATTGATGATAATTATAACCTCTTCCGTTTCATAATGTTAGTCACATATGGAATCAATTACATAAAATAAGAAAAGAAATATATTTGGAATCTAACATTAAAGTACAACATAATTCATACTCGTAATTAGTTTACCTTTTTTAACTTTTTGATTTTTTATTCGGAAAGCACAAGTCATAATTGCATAATTTAAGGTAAATATTTCCTTACTTAGTGTCATGTCATCAACCCACAACAAATTAATTAAAAAAAAATCAATTTATAAATGAAATATATTCAATATGGGAAGATCATTTTGAAACGCCCAAAATAGTATATGAACTAACATTATGAAACGGAGGGAGTATTAATTATTATTATGATTAATAAATACTCATTATTATTAATATTAATAATTATTATAATTTATTTTTAATATTAATAATTTTTATAATTATTTAAAATAATAAATTATTATCATCAATATAATTAATTATTATTATTATTATTATTATTATTTGATAAAACAATTAATTATTATTATTGAATATTAATTATTATTGTTATTATTAATTATTTGAAAATAGATCAGAGCAGATTTAATTTGAACATAACAGACTCAACAGAGCAACTCTAAAGAACAGAGCTTTAGTTGTTAATCCAAACTGTTCGTTTGGCATTGCTGTGGTTTTCTGTTTTTTGGTTTTTTGTTTTCTAATAGTATATGATGTGTCCCATAATGAATCAAAATTATATAAACTTATTAAAATTATGATAATGTTGAAAACTGACAACAGAAAAATGAAAACACCTTTTTCTTGTTTCCTGTTTTTGGTTTTAAAAAAAAACAGGAAATTGAAAACCAAAACTGATGTCAAACAAGTCCGTACACATTGAACTTTTGCGGACTTGCGGTAGAAGCTATCGAATTGCATTGCGCGGCCAAAACCCCCAATTTTAAACCTCCTTCCCGCCAATTCATTCCTCCCAATTTCATCTTCTTCCTTCTCTTTCTCTCTCTTTCCTCAAACACAGCAAAACCAGAAAAAATGGAAGCATCAACTCACCAAATTCCAGAAAACCCTAGAAATGTCTACCACATTGGAGGAATCCCAGTTGAATTCCCTTACAAACCGTACGGATCGCAGCTTGCATTCATGGGTCGGGTCATCTCTACGCTTGATCGAGCTCAAAGGGAAGGCCATTGCCATGCTCTCCTTGAGTCTCCTACTGGTACTGGAAAGTCTCTCTCTCTCCTCTGCTCTGCTCTTGCTTGGCAGCTTCATCGCGGCAAAAACCCTATTTTTCAGCAGCAACAGTCGAAGCCTGATTCTAGGGCGGCTTCTGACCCTCTTAATCATGGCGGTGGCTTTGTCGTTGATTCTCAGCTTTCTGGTTTGTTTTCCTACTCAAATTGTGCTTTCCAGATTCTAGGGATTTTGAATTTTAATTTTACCCATTTTGATTTGAATTACTTTGGTGGTGTTAGGGTTTTGGAAGTTTATTTATGGTAGTAGGGATTGTGGGTTTTTGGTGAAATGCTGAAAATTTAGATGTAAATTTAGCGGTGTTGATAATATTGTACTTCAGTGTGTCAATTATGGACTATTGGGTAATCATTTTTCTTGAGATTTATAGGTTTTGTTTGTTTATTCACTTATTAATGGTCTGAGATCCGTCCTTCACTCTTCTGGTTCAATTCGAAGAAGTTTGGTGTTGTGGATTTGTGGAAGTTTAGGGTAGGGCTTGTGGTTTAGGGGTGAACTGTTCAATATCTGCAAGTAAATTTAGTGTCACTGAATCATTGATCATCTTTATCCCGTTCTATTAGGAAGTTTATGACAGCTAAGAACTATTTGTTGATCTCGAGCTTCAAAATTCAATTGATGCGGATAGAAAAAAAGCTAGTGGCAAAAGCAAAATTATTAAGAGTGAAGGTTATGGCCTTATGAGTAATGAACATAATTTATATGCGAATCAAAGTTATGGGTTTTTATTTATGTTGTTGATGTTAAAATGTTCATGGCAGGGCTTAGGGAAACGACTGTGTTTTTTTTCTTTTTTTAGCATCCGACCCTCAATTTCTAACAATGAAGCAGCTAGGTGGGAAGCGTAGAATAGAAACGTGTGCAAAAAATTACTGAGCTTTATTGTCAAATGAAGCTCTCTTAAAACTGGAATCTATTTTTGTTATGATATATGCGTGCATTAACCCTGTTGTTAAGTGATTATAGAGGTGGATACTTAACATTTTTTAGTTTAAGTTACGACAATTTTTGTTCTCATTTCTGCTAGTGGTGAAGATGGCTCTTATAGACACAATAATAAATATGAATTGATTATTGGATACTTGCTAAAATGGTGATGATATGTTTAAATTTCCTAAACAGTGTTTCAGCCTATTATATGTTTATAACATGTCTATAAAGAGGTGATCAATTTTTTCTCCAGAGACTTCAACACCAGAGACAGCTCCACCTGCAACAAATACTACAAGTCAAAGCAAGAAATCAGTGCCCACCATATATTACGCCTCGTAAGTGTGGAGTTGATGTTCTTTGCGATCTTTTTCACTCAGTCAATTATTTCCCGTTTTCTGCTCATAAACCAGCGGTTGGGTTTTAGCATTATTTAGTAAAGAACGTTTTATATCTGATTAGGGAACCCTCAATTGATTTTGAATGCACACCTTGCTTCTCAAAATGACTAGACATGTTTGACTTTTTTGGTCAGATCTTGTCAACCTAGACAGCTATTGACCATAATTGTATTTCTCGTTGCTTTTCTGTGTGTTTATTATTGTCTTTAATATTGTATATTATAAGGGGATCATATTCCTGTCTCTGATAAACATTATATTTGGCATGCCATTTTACAAAGCATACATACTTTTTTCTGGAGCAGAGGCCTCATTGCCAAAAGAAGCTTTAGAAATTATTCTATATGCCTGGAGGCAAGTTCTGTTCTTAGAGAATAAAATGATAACACATAGTGAATAGTACCAGATACCAGATTAAAACGGCTGCACCATATTGAAAAAGTGAGTCAATTCTGAGAACTGGACATTTGTTTCAGTTTTCCGGACCAATTAGTTTTATGTATAAAACATACACGTAGTGACTATGAAGAGGAGATGATGTGGTGAAATGTTCTGATGGTGATCTTGTGTACTATGTGGTTGGAGCTATTAGCCGTATATATTCTATATATTTTTTCTTTTGTGAATTGCTTTGGAACATTGTTCATCTTTATTGGCAAAGGCAGCAGGGTCTTTAAAGGGTTATTCAATTGGGAATATTCAGAGGAATTTAATATATTTGTTATTTGTCTTTTGGCATCTCTTTAAGAGTACACAGTCCTTTTCTGTAAGCTTTTTCTTGATTGATCAATGTAATTCTTTTCTCTTAAATAAAGAAAAACAGAAAATATCATGAAGAGGAATGAATGAAGACCACATATATGATTTTATTTATAAAAGTGGAAGGTGCTTATGGCAGATTCTCACTTTTCTGTTTGCTTAAAAATGTCAAAAATAAATTTCTATACCGGAGCTTTATAGGGAGATGTATTATGTACTTATGTACTTTGAATTTGGATGGATTACTCAAATTATAAATTTTTTGCCCAAGTAATGTGTGCTGATTATCTACTTATCTGTAACTTTGTTAGGAGAACTCATTCTCAACTTACACAAGTTATTCGTGAATATCGGAAGACGACTTACAGGGCCCCTATGGCTGTTTTGGTAAGTCTTACAATTTTTAATTTTCTGCTGGCAACTTATATTTATTTATTTTTAATCTATTAAGGCCGAGATACCAAATGCTGAACTCTGAATTGGCTGAAAAAGCTCCTTGTCTTTCCATGCCGTGGTGTCTATCTTGTCATCTAATGCACTTGCTCATTTTGTAGATGAAAAGTAATTTTTTTTTGAGAGCATGCCTCTTTTTTAATGTATAACTTGAAGACTATTAGTTGAGACGATGAATACAAGAGGGGGGTGAATTGTATAGAGTTCCTAATGACTACTTTTTGCGGATAAATAAACAATGCATATAGGAACTTAATAAAACACACAGATTTTACGAGGAAACCTTCCAGGGCCCAACTGGAAGTAAAATCTCGACCCTACCTTAGGGATTTCAAACAAAAAACACTTCACTATAATAGGGCAAACACCAAGTTACAACCTATTAGACACGGACCTTTATTTCACAAGTTCCTCACTGGACTTGCTACTTGATAAGACCCTATCCTACCCAATCTAAGCACCACACTTAGATTCACTCGTACCACCAAAGTACTACACGTACTGCCAAAGTACAACTACTCGTACCACCCAAGTACAAAACTCACAGCCTCACCTAGAAGCCAACACAAAACTGTATATTACACGAACTATAAATTCACCCAAATAACCCAACCAATACAAATATATGACACCTAGTATGATAGGTAAGCAATGCACGAAATCCGAAACTAATATGACAAGTTAAAAGCTTGGTAAACTTACTCAATTATAGCACTGTGATTTCTCCTCGCATCAACTCACAAAAACCTAAAATCATTTTTCGCTCTACTATTTATACAAGTAACACTCGTATAGAAAGTAGGTTTTCTAAAAGATAAATAAGTTAACTTAACTTATCTTTAAACACGGTTTTATGTGAATCAAGTAAAATAAAATCTTTTTCGGAAAATAAGCTCAAAAAGATATTTATTAAGAAGACTTATCTTTTTAACAAACTGATTTTAAAGAAAATAATCTTTTTAGAAAATCTTTTCCTAAAATCTATCTTTTATTATTTTCCATATTTATTTTATTTACCAAGTAAGCTTATCACGTTTCTAATAAATTTCGTGCACTAACCTACTTAACATATTTACAATAATTTATAAGATAAAAACCTTAAGTAAATATTATTGCTGCGCCGCACTTTGATCAGGTAGATTACTTGGACTCCAAGCATATTAAGTTCCACCAAAGAACTTAAACTGCTCGTCTTCAAAGTTCCTGTTAGGGAACTTAGTTCTTGTTAGAGAACTCTTCCTCTGATTTGTTTAACTTCTTCAATAAAGGTCTTCTTCATGTCTTCTTAGTTTCAGATGGTTCTTCAATCACCAAGGTCAATCATCACCTTAACTAATCACACACTAGAGAATCTTTATTAGTTGAGTTTGCTTTAAGTTCAAGTTCCTCATCATCAAAATCATTATGCTTCAACAAAGACTTGAAAATATCATGATTTCAATGTGTTGATTTGGTTTAATGGTTGTTGGGTATGCTTCGTCCTCAGCAATTGGATTCCCAGATTTTTTTTATTGATTTTGTACACTAGGGATGATTGTAGAGCCGGTAAGCTGGATGGTTGTGGTTCTTCATCATGTGATATACCTAGCTACACAGAACAAATGCATGCTCGTTTGGTGGAGAATGTGTAAACCTTTTCCTTACTTCTCACGTTTTTCCAGGGATCTAGGAAGCATTATTGCACTAATGAAAAGATACGTAATGGAGACAACCTAGATGAGGAATGGTGAAATTTCGTTAACCCAAAATACGTAGGTTAATTCTGTATTCTTTCTTAATTCCTTCCCCTAACATGGAGATATGCATTTTTGTGTAGCAAGTTACTTCTCGAGAATAAAGAAGCTGGGTGTCCACTATTCAAGTTAGTAATTTTCAATTTTTCATGATTCCATGTAGATAATCTTCACAGTTTCTGAGCTTCATGTCTGTGCCCTTTGTCTGTGCAGAAATGCTCATAGAGTTAAAAGTCATCCATCTCTCCAGAAAGGTGGCTGTCATGAGGCTCATGATATTGAAGATCTTGTTAAAATTGGAAAAACAGTAAAAGGCTAGTTAGCTTATTCAGTGCTTCAGCCTTTTTTTTCTTACCCTTGCAGTCTAGCCTATATTCCTGAAATTTTCTCTGAAATAGAGCAAATGTCTTTCCATTTGCAGGTTGTTCATATTTTGCGGCGCGTTCATTGGCTGTTGATGCACATATTGTTTTTTGCCCATATAGTTATATTACCAATCCAATTATCCGAAGAGCAATGGAAATTGACATCAAGGGAGCTATTCTTGTTCTTGATGAAGCCCAGTATGCTTATAACTCTCATCTTGACTGTTTTGTCTCTTTCCCACTGCATTTATGATCATGATTTCTTGATAGGAGTCTGTACTCTAGTCTTTTTTTATGTTGGTAAACATACCAATTTCTGCAGCCTTGCCTCTACATGTGTAATATATTGGAAAAAAGAAAATTTGTTTTGTTTAATGCTTCAATCTCCAATTAAAAATACAAGCTTTTATTGTCATGTATAAAGGAATGTGCCTCAATTGTCAACTTTTAAAATTATTTTCTTGATATCTGGCTGTATGTCTTATTCATATTTTCTCCCCGGTCTCTTAAAGGTAAATGCTTAACCAGTTATCAGTTTGAGTTGATCATGTCTATGAAGCCATATTTAATTATATATTAAGCCTGAAGTTGTGTCTGGTAACTTAAGCGATTATGACATTGTACACAAAAATACAAAATGCCATATTACCATTACTTCAAATATGGTTTTAATTTTGTTGTCTTCAGCGATTGGGTTGGGTTGCTTCTGACATTAAATTTCAATTGAAATTCCAGTGATGATACATATGCTTCCTGAGTTTTGTTATCATTAGGCCACATAGCTGGCTTTATTTGAAATGAATGAAGAATTGCAGGATTATGATTTCACAAGTACTTGATAATTATGATTTTGGGTTTGTTTTATGTAATTATAAAGGTGTTCCTCTTGGGAATATTACCTGTAGACCTGTAGTTGTTTTAATGGTGGTCTGACCAAGCTAGAATATTAAAGGATAGTGATACTTCGTGTGATTCCATAAGTTCAGTTTATATATTGTCACCAGTATCGGTAGTTTTTATAGAGAAACCTCTGAACTTATCACTTGTTGAAACTTGACAGTAATATAGAGGACATATCTCGAGAAGCTGGTAGTGTGGATGTTGACGAAGATGCTTTGCATAGTAAGTGAATCTCTTACAGTATACTGCTTTTATCTTTATCATCTGTTACTAATGCTCCCATACTTTATAAAAGAATTGCAGATGGAGCTAGGTCAGCTCTGTGGAGGTGACGCACTGACATACCAGCCTCTGTATGAAATGGTCCAGGTGATTGTTTTGCTTTTAAGCATATAAATCCATATTATCGGATTGCCTGATTAATTTTTTCTCTAATCAATTATGATGGCTGAGACTTGTAGGATGTTTTAAGCTGGATGGAGCGCCGAAAAGGGGCCTTAGAAAAGCGTGATTTTCAGCGCTATGTCTCATGGTGAGTAGATTTTTCTCTTTACCTCCCGTTTTCTAGCTTAGTTTAGTATGACCAAAGGTTGAAGAAGAAAAGAAGACAATTTATGTGATTCAGTTCTTGATTATTTTGATTTATATATCTGGTTTACATCAGTGTATAAAAAGGGTGCCTAGGCTCACCAGACTACCTGAGGCGCATTTAGTCATATATATATATATTTAATGTTTATACAGTGTGTCTCACTTCAAAGAAGCGCCCAAGGAGGTGTGCCTAGGCGCAGTAGGACCTCTATTGCTTTAGTGTGCCTTGAGCTTTTTTATACATTGGTTTTATGGTTTACACTAAACTATAAACATGCCTTTTCTGTACCATGTGTGTTTTTTCTATCTATTTATATTTTTTGATAAGTGATTGTGACCACGCAAATCAAAATCATGTTTAATGGTTTGCATTGTACTCGTATTGTAAATCATTCTTTTACTTTCTCATTTATAACATTTTCAAAATGCTATGAAAGTTGAATCTTGAATGTGACAATTGGTTATGTATACCCCCTACTCACAACAAGGGCGGGCCATAGGGAGCTACCTTAAATGCCATGGCTTGTATTTAGTCTTTACCATCTAACATTAATTTTTTTTTGCTCTAACTCATATCCTAAGCTCTAGTACAAATGCACTATTATTTTTAACATTATCATACATATAAGGCATAGGGTGTTTTAACTAGTTATAAATAATGCTAATCTATCCCAAAGAAAAATCTCTTCATTTTTATCTCAAATACTAAAGTAAGCTATTTGACTAGTGTACGTATCCATAAACATATTTTCCCTTTCTAAAATAATCTACTACATCAAAGTCTAAACAATCAATTATTTTAGGGGCTTGTCCGAGGATACTTATAACCATCTTGGAAAGGGAAGAGAGGCTTACTTTTAAAACATCCAAAATAGTAAGGAGCTAATTTATTTTGATATAGTGAGTTTTACCCTGCCGATTAAACTATGCTTCCATTGTATTTCAAATGCAGCTGGACAGGGGATAAGGCTTTAAAGGAGCTCCAAGAGGCTAGCATATCACAACAGTGCTTTCCAATCTTGCAAGAGTGTGCTGCTAAGGTCCATATCTTTACTGATAAGTTAGCTCTTGATAACCAAGCTGCTGCTTTGCTAACGTGTACAATCCATTTGTTAAGGCTATCAAAGCTGCTTCAGACACCGAGTCAGGGTTAGCTCATTTAAGTGGCATGTCAGCAGTAACATTGGAGGGTAATTACTTTTGAAAGTGCTTTTGCTTTATTCATCAGATTCTGTCAAACTCTAACAAGATATGTTTTTATCATTGCAGGTCTTTTCTGCTCTCTTAATTATTTTTTTCAGAAAAATGGGCTTCACATAAATGACTTCCAACTTGCTGTACAATGCATCTTCAAAAAAGACACTGGTGAGATTTCTAGATGCTGGTTTGTAACATGCAATGTTGATAAGTGAAGGAAATTGTTATCACGCATGAGGAGACCATGTATATGGTGGACTTGCATTGCAATTCTCTGGTTTGTTGGTTAAATAACATTGACATGCTGATTTCCTTAACCCTCAAAGATTTTGAAGGCACAACTAATACATAAATATGTATATTTATTATTTTTATGTGGTCATGTATGTGTCTTTGAAGTGTGATACTATGCCACAAGTTCGATGGATTTCACCCTATCAAATGATATTTTGCTGGCAAGCTATTTTCTTTTCTGAAGCATTGAACCTACCCCCTCTTCTAGCTAGGATGGTGGGGGTAGGCTTGTAAGTCTGAGGTCAAGGATTTCAAAATATATATAAATTTGAAGGTCTACAAATATCGAGTTAATTCATTTTTTTCTTTAACATTTCAACTAAGTGAATTCTTGATGTCTTCTTAAATTGTTAGCTTCATTCCATCTTATAAATTTGAGCATCCTTAAGTCCTCAACAAGGAAAAAAGAATAAATTGTGCCCTCAAGCATATTATTTTCTTTTTAATGTTGACCTAAAAAATGGATCATCATAATAAGGATGTTGTTTTGCTCTATATAATGTCTGAAATCTGGAACTTAGGCGACACTCTCTCAAGGACTTTCTTTCACTACAATATCCTGAATCCTGTCTTCCTGCGAATCACCATCCTTATTTATACTGCTTTTCTATTAAATTTTTCGACTATCTGGGGTGATGATCACCACCAGCACTTCACATCTCGGTGCAGTGGAACTTGGTGAAATAAGCTCTTTTAGAATCAATCTTGAACCACCTGCTAGAGGTTCGTATGTGGACATAATTGCCCTTACAGCTTCCAACCCGTGATTACTTGCTGTCTGGCAGAGAAAGGCAGATTAGAGGAAGGAGGGGGGAAGAAACAAAAAAGAAAGATGGGCATAAATTAAAAGTGAAAGTACCTGTAGATATTTATATTTTTCTTGATCTACCATTAAAAACCCATCTTAATATATGCTTGAACACTTTTTTTTTTTTTTTTTTTAACACATTATTATGAATAAAGTAATAGAAAGAGGAATAAATCTTTGTTTTAAAAGACAATGTATTTGGTAATAGTTAAGTAGTACATTTTGGAATAGGCTGTCACAAACTCACAATGATTTGGAGGAGTGAGACTTGCCAAAAGAGAGGATGTACTAATTTTTTCTAGACTTGGTTGATGATGCTCCAAGAATGTAGTATGAGATAAAATTATCAAATATATTATGAAACCTACAATTATCATCCCCTCTCATCTTTTCTCTATGAATTTCTTCTGCATGTGACTTTGACTATTTTGTCAATATATCTTATTGCGGTGTTGCTATGCACATTTCAGGTAGCTGGACTCTTACTTTCAGTTTGTGGTGTTTGAACCCAGCTGTTGTATTCAGAGATATCACTGAACTTTCATTATCAGTGATTTTAACATCTGGGTAGGTTTTTGCATATTTTGCTATAAGCTGTGGTTAATTTATAATCTGTTGTTTAGGGTTGCAGTCAGTCGTACAGCAACCACCCAATAACATACTTTGGGCCGTCACTCTTGAGTTTATGTTGCTGCTTGCTGAATACTTTGAAATTGTTTCTCCTTATCGGGAAAATTAATTGGTTAGCATTTGTAGTTGAAAAGTTCACTAATTCAGTTTGTGTTAATTAAATCCATGATTGCATATGTGCACCTGGTTGAAGTTAATCCACTCCTTGAAGATGCCTGCTTGCCTTTTTCTTTGTTTTGTTATATAATTTGCACCTCAGAATCTCTTAATTTCTACATTTTTTATTTGCAACTTCTCGTGGTTGTTGTTCTGTTAATAATACGCAATGTTTCATGATTTTTATTTATTTTTTTATTTTTTTGGGGTAATATCAGGACTCTATCACCAATGAATTCTTTTTCATCTGAACTTGGAATCCCATTTGGCACGCTTCTAGAGGCTCCACACGTAATTGACGTTGAATCTCAGGTATAGTCTGTGAACATGTCGTATCTTATTGGCCGAGTCCCTTTATCTCATGCTTTGTTTTGACTATTGTTCTTTATTTTCCACAGGTTTGGGCTTCAATAATTTCTACTGGTCCACATGAATATCCCTTAAATGCTAGCTATAAGACAGCCGATGCATATGCATTTCAGGTACTTGCTAATTTATTAGTTCCTTTTCCCTCCATTGCTATGAAGTCTAGGTCAATCACATCTATTTTGATTCTATTGTGAATTGTTATGAAGGATGCTGTTGGTAAAGCTTTGGAGGAGCTGTTCAAGGTTGTTCCTGGTGGTTCACTGGTGTTTTTCCCAAGCTATAAGCTAATGGATAAGCTTTGTAAAAGGTGGATTGAAACAGGCCAGTGGTCTCGGATGAATGCTAGAAAACCAGTCTTTGTTGGTAATTAATCCTGTTCTGCAAATGGCAACATAAAAAATTCAATGTTATGTTATTGGATAGTATGTGTTAACTACCTGGAGGGCCTCTTGTTTTTGTTCTTAATTTAAATGCTATTTGGAAGAGATATTTTTTGAGAAATCCTGGTTTTGCTCTACTTTAGGAGCATAATCTACAAGATAATTGCTAATATCCTTTGACATGCAGAGCCCAGAGGAGGTAGCCAGGAGGATTTTGAAGCTGTTTTGAAAGGTTATTATAGTGCAATTCGTCCAGGCACTAAGCCAGCTCTTGGAAAAAGGAGAAAGGCAAAGAAAGTAAAATCCAATTTGTCTACTACAGCTAATTCAATTGAGGAATCTAAGGAGGGGGCTGCATTTCTTGCTGTTTGCCGTGGAAAGGTGTGTGACGATTTTTATAGTTATGCATCATTGTTCAGTCCCTAGTAAGAATGACTTTACCCTTCACCATTACAGAATTATAATGATAAGTTCTCGCTGCATGATACATTGATACTACTATGTCTATTATGTACATGTGTGTGTGTCAACATGTAATCTTGCAATGACCTGGATATGTACTTAAAATAGTTGGTTACATCATATAGGTCTCCTATACTAGCTTCATAAGCACCTTGGTATTTATGCTAATTTAATAAGATAAAAGACCTTTGCACCTTATGTGGTAAGGCGTCAACAACTGATGATTAAGATAATTTTAAAATAAGTACCACATGACTGTCAGATTTACTGTAATACTAGAGGAGATTAAAACCCCATATCCACCATTTTTTTTATAGAACCCTAGCTACCCTAGCTAATGATCACATATCTCTTTCACCCTTTCTCAAAATTCATTTCTTAGACATTTTTTAGAAATTTATTTTTATATGTATAAAGTTCACCTTGCCTACTAAAGGCACACACCTTCACCTTGTGTATAGGTTCCAAGGACGTTTGCACCTTGGTGTGTCTTGCACACTTCTAAGGCTATAGCTTGGTAGATTTGGTCTTTTGTTTGTGATTAGTTTTAACATAAAGTCACTTACCTGTGTATATTATTTCTAAATTCTTTTTGCTCCTTGAATCCTTGGGACACAAAATTATAAGAAGGCTAAGATTCATCAAGCAATGAAAGTCAGTCAATCAATCAAAGCCTTAATCCCATAAGTGGGGTCAGCTACATGAACCAAAAGTGATTATTCCGTATAGTCATCCACTAAAATCTTCCTCCTCCATCCCTTACAATCAAATACCTCATTCTCATGCAAATCCATATGCTTCATATCCTTCCTAACTCCTTCCAACCAAGTCATTTTCGGTCTCCCTCTACCTCGTTTATCTTCTCTATGATCCTACTCTTCCACTTTCGTACTGGTGCACCTTGGGGTCTCCGTCTTACATGTCCGAACCAACGGAAGGAATGAAAGTCAAGATCAACTCAAATTAAGAAGTTCTTTAGTTGAAGCCTGATCACAATAATGGGCTCTTCATGAGATCTGGCTGGTGCTTGATGTGCTAAAAGGATATTTTATTTCAGTCTTACGAAATCTGGCTGGTGCTTAATGTGCTAAAAGAATAGTTCCATACGAGATTGCAGTGAACTGATATTAGGGAAGAGGGGCAATTTAGGGAGTAGAGTTACAATAAAGTTGTTAGGAGAATTTAGTTAGTTTGTTAGGGAAATGTTCTATAAATAGAGCTAATTAGAGAGAGATAAGCATGTTGAGTATTGTTGAATGCATTAAGTTAGCTTTAGAAGGCTAGATTGGGAGAGAATCCACTTCTTGAATGTGGAATTATCATACAAAAGTGCTGTAATTCAGGTAATTAATCAAAATTCATCATCTTCTTCCTATGTTCTGCTATCTATGAAGCTCAAGCTATGTTAATTCATAGCAAAGATCTGGGTGGTGCTTGATGTGCTAAAAGGATATCTTATTACAGTCCTGAGATCTAGCTGTTGCTACCAATGACGTTTTTATTTCTTTTTTAAAAAAATTTCTAATTGTTTTTGAAGTTAGATTGAGGAAAAGCATTTCAGAACAATAGAACATCTTTAAAGGGTCTGTTCCTAATAGTCTAAACCACATTAAGGCAGCTTGTGAAATTTGTGGTTGAAGAAACACACTGAGTTCTTTGGTCCAACACTTCTTTTTTCTTTCTTTTGCTCTTTTGTGGGGAAAGATATCTAGGTATACTTCTCTTTTTATTACCTGGACTGAGGAAATATTTACTGAGGAGATAAAGTGATAACATACTATCAAATAAAAAAGGAGAACACTAAAGTAAACACTGTTGTAGAAGTTAAGGAGCAAATTACATGTTTTTTCAAACTTGAGTCAAATCGCAAAAGTAATTGACCATCTAATGGAAGAAACCTGCATTTTCCTGCCTTTATTCGTGGTTTCATAGCAGATAATCCTTAAATCCCTGTGATGGTGTTAGAACCTGTGGTAATCCCAATGGCCAGCACATCAACCAGAAGTGAAAACATTAGCTATCCTCTTTTTGGTGATTATATTTGCAAGAAGCAGATTTAAGAATGACTTTGATGTCTTTTCATATTTTGTTTATAATTGATGGCTGCTCTTCTAAAGTTCTAATGCTCATAACTCTTTATCACTTGGTCCATAGTACTGATCATCCAGTGCAAAGAGCTCATAAAATTGATCTTATGGGATGATTCTCTCTCTAAGTGTGAGAGAAGATAACTATGATTTCAGCCGCAGCTAGTTAATTTTTATCTTGCTTTGGACCTTAGCTCCTGACGAAAGCAAAGCAGGAAAGATAGTGGGAAGAATTATAATAGTCATAATTGTTTGGTCAAGTCTTCATGTCACCATTTGCAAGTGCTTCCTTTTGAGGGTGAGGTGTTTTTTACAATATTTTGTTGTTGGCACTCTTTTAAAGAGCAGGCTTTCTAATATTGATCAATGGTTCTTTGTTACGTTGATCAAGTCGGATTTTCTTTCTTTCTTTGGTAATTCATCATGAAGTAAGTTGAATTTTTGGAATCCATGTATGTTAAATGGTTGAATAATTCTCCAGTGTTTATTTCTAATGGAGTCAAAAGACTCACTATTCTTTTGATTAGACATTTAAACTTCAATAGAATTAATGGCTATCTGATTAACAGATCAAGTATAGATAAAAAAAACATCCTGAGAAATATATATGCTTATAGAGTAACAAAAATGCAGAAATTAAAACCTTTTGGGAAGTTTCTTAGTTCTTACCTAGCACCCCAGGCTTGTGAAATTTCCTCAAAAAGTTTAATCTAGCAGTTATGAGCACTTCGTAGTAAATCTACCATGAGGAAATTACAGTAACTGGGGTAGGCTGAATTCTATTATGCAACCAAACAATTACTGAATCAGACAATTTGTTAGGCTTTTTGTAAATAGTATGTGACTGTTGCATTTTATATATAGGGTCAGCTTCTGTTTGAACGAAGGTTAGGTGATTTGTTGTTGGTTGCATTCTTGCATTTAAAAATTCTTTCCTTTTTAATTATTCATTTAGCTCTTTTTTTTCATATAGATGACTTTATTCTGTCAGAGTTCTAGTATAACAATGTATTAACATTATAATGCTGATGTAAGGGGACAAATGATCCTTTCAAGTTGCTGAATCTTGGTTTTTGGCTGTTGGCTATGTGTGCAGGTTTCTGAAGGAATTGACTTTTCAGATGAAAATGCTCGTGCTGTGGTATCCTTTTTGAACTATTTCAAAATTTTATATAAAGTAGATTATGTGTAATAATTAGGTAGATTATGACTATAATGAGCTCAATGTATGTCAGTTATTTATTTATTGCTATGAGAAATTCCTACTTTATACTAATATTTGTGGGGGTGTATCTTCTTAACTGCTCCAGATAATAATTGGTATTCCTTTTCCAAATATGTAAGAATTTTTAGTCTTTTCTATCTTAATCGAACTGGGTTTTTTGGTTGTATACCAAATTGAGATTATCAATTTTGAAATCTTTGCAGAAATGACATCCAAGTTGCAGAGAAGAAGAAGTATAATGACACATATAAATGCTCCAAGAATCTTCTAAGTGGAAGTGATTGGTACTGCCAACAAGCTTTCCGAGCACTGAATCAGGCTGCAGGTATGCAGGGGTATACTAGAAAATGAGCGTCAATTAATCTTTAATAGGCTGATAGCTACAACATATTATTTAAGTGATGCTCATATTAAGTTATTGTAGGCTTTGATAAACTCGGGGTATATAAAAGAAAGGGAAACATTTTTTTTTTCTAGATGTTGCATAAAGGAAAGTTCGGTTTCAAGCTATATGTACTGCAATGTTATTATAGATCAACAACATTGGTTTTCAGTTTAATTTAAATAGCAAGGTTACAGATGAACTACAGCATCAATACATGGTGTGAAAATCCTAAAAGTCCCATAGTCTAGAAGCATAATCTCCTTGCAAAATAACATGCTAAAATGTGATTGTTGAAGAAGCCCCTTTAAAAAATCCAGCCGCTCTCAATTACGGGGAATTTAAGACAATTAAACCTGTCCCCCCTCCTCCCCCCCCCCCCTTTCTAGTTACAAGCACCATACTATAGCCAGCCAAAATATTTTGCTCCTAGACTTCAAAAGCTTGAAAAAGATGGACCCTTAGGGGTGAAGGATGATTGATTTCCATGGTTGGCTGTATGATTCTGTGATCTCTCTTTAGATTAATCAGTATTTGATCTTCCTTTCTAGAAGGTTTGATTGTCTTGAGAAGCTTTATTTATTAAAGTGTTCCTACCAATCAAAACTTCTAGGAAGGTGCAAGGAATCAATGTTAGGGGAAGGGTATGTTAGTCATAGCCTATTAGTAGTAGCTTGGGGAATAAGTTAAGAGTTTAATATGAGAGTTTTTCTATAAATAGGCCTCATTAGGAGGAATAATAATCATGTTGAATATTGTTGAGAAGTCTGTTATTGACTTGTTGGAGAGCACCTTCCTCTCGAAAGAAGGCATTTTATTGTTGAGCAATCAGTTTGATAATACAACTTATCCCTCTTAGCTATCCTTTTCTATCTAATTAGCTCGCTTACTTACTGTTTGGGAGCTAATTCCTAGCAGAAGGCAGAACCATTTGAGATTTTGAGAAGCTAACAAGCATCAGACAACAAGTCTGAGAAACAACCTATTATCTGTTCAACTTTTCCATTCAATTTGAACGATTTCAAATAAATATTTATTGCTCTATTGATTTACTAAACAATTTCACCTATACTTGTTATCCTTGGAGGCTTAGACTGATTCCTGGTGCTCAAGGTTAGTTTGAATGGACTTATGAGACTGAAAACTGAGGTACCATTGTCTGGCTCTCGTGACCAAAAATTAGGCTGCTCAGAATGTGTCATGATTCTCAATATGTGGTATTTGAAGATCCTTTGGTGTTTTGGTTTTTCTGCTCAATATATGATTGCATTCTTGTGGCTTATTAAAAGCAAGAGATCTCAAAAGGATCACTCAAGCAGTAGTAAGTAGTTAGCAGAAAGGTGAAAAAAAAACCTTTTGTTGTTCCTCTATATGTTTAATGTGTGTGTGTGTGCATGCGTGGTGTGTTCCTCTGTACGTTTGATTAGTCCTCTGGAACACCGGACAGTGGCAGGTTTAGTTGGTAACAGGGTGTTCCATTTTAGGATTGCTAACATCTGAGGGGATAGGTTATGAAAATCTGAAACAAATCCAGGTCCAGAAGACATGCCCCCCCCCCCCCCCCCCCCCCCGGGTGTGTCATCCCCTGTACCTGTGACTCTGGTCAGGCAACAGAACTTGAGTGCTGGATCACTTGAAGTAATTATATTTCGATGGTTAACAGATGTGTCCGCAAATTCGAAGCATAACGAAATCATGTCCCTAAATGTGCTCACTTTTCAAATCATCATATCATTTATATTGTTTCTTTCAAAAAAAAAAAAATCGTATATATTGTCATGTGGCTTTATCTTTCTATTCTCTTAGAATCAAGTATTGGCTCTAATTGTTTCTGTATAGGTTTGTATAGTTTAAGTCTACCTTGCTCTCGGTACTATAACTTTTATAAATTAGCTGTTGTAATTCTTGTAACCAAGGGTTTACCATGTGATATTTACTCTTTCATTTGCCTAATGACAGGCAGGTGTATCCGTCACAGGCATGATTATGGGGCAATCATATTCTTAGGTAATCTTTTTCTTAGTTCTTCCTGTTGGTTTTTTGCTGCTTTAATGTATTGGAATTGGATTGAGGTTAATAAATGAATGAGCAAAAAGGCATGATCTGGTTTGGAAAGGGATGAAGCAGTTTTATTTATTGTGCATAAACTGCATATTATGAACTCTATAAATCTGTGTGAAGTTTTATGTATGAGTAGAGGCTGCATCATGTTGTTTCTGACAAGATGGAAGAGTATCCCAATGCCTTAAAAAGAAACTCTTTTTTTCTTGATAGAGATAAAATAGATTCTTAACCATGAATGTTGTAGCATAAGATAAAATCTAGTTTATGGAGTCTGTCTTTTTTTTTTTTTTTTTCCTGGCTGTCAATGTTTGTTAACATTTAAAATATATCATACTCTCTCCGCTCCCCTTTGTTTGCTCCATTGGGAGACAGTAACTTATTAGTTTTTGGTTGAAAGGAATTGACGAAAGAGAGAAGTAATGGGGTTAATGGACTGGTTGTGAGAGAAAAGTAGCTTTTAAAAGTTGTCATGTAAAAACCACTGCATTTAAAAAAAAAAAAATGCAAATTTACATGTGTGAGCATTCTTTAGTTTGAATCTTCTAAAATTCTTTGATTTAGTGAGGAAGAAAAAATTTAGACTAACAGCATGATTTTCAAATGTAAAACTATTGCCTTGGTGTAACCCATAAGCATGATTAATACTACCTCCATTTCACAATACATGCACTGTTTTGACTTTTTTTTTATTTGTTTATTTTTTATAATCTAGTTATTTACTTTGACTAGATTTTTTACTTGTATAAAAATTAAATTATAATATACCTCTTTTTTAATAGCACAATTTGGGTGGGCACAAAGTTTATGTAAGGAATGAAATAACAAAAAGCCCATGTGACTACAAAGAAGAGAGATTAAAAGTGAGGTTACAAGGGTATATATCAAATGTGAGTAAGGGTTAAATAGTTATTTGGTGTATGAAAGTATACCCATTAGAGAAATGGTGCAATTGATATCCAACTTCCCTAAAAGAAAATTGGTGTGATTAAATAAAACAGAGAAGTATAAAATATTCTTGGATTGGTTTTAATGTACATTTTCAATATATTATCTTTCCATAATTTCTTACTAATTGATTAAAAAAAAAAGAGATAATGGTCATTGTTGTGTTTTTACAAAGTGAAAAAGTCAAAATATTGCATCTATTGTGAAACACAGGTGGTATATTATTTTGCAACCTTTTCTTTATAAAATATTGATTTATACGAAGTAACCTTTCCTCACTCTCCCTTTTCACCTGATTTGAACTGAAGACTGGCCTTGCTTTTTTCTCCTTTTAGCCTTAAAATCCACTTACTGTTTCATATTTATTTTTCATGTCCCTACAGAACACTTAGTGGTAAAACTAGTTTGTTGCAACACAGATCATGGTAATAGAGGCAAGGTCTCACTTGGAAACTGATCTTTTACTACGCTTAATGTTCAGTCCATATATTTAATTTATTTTGTGTTCTGCCTCCTGTTTCTTTGCTGTCAACTCCTTCCTATCTTGGCATGTTTTGGTAGTAAATATATCTTGTCTACGTTATACAACTTTAGATAATGGCTCTTCACTTACTCCCTTTCAGATGAACGATTTCGTGAGGAAAGAAATACGATCTACATTTCAAAGTGGCTAAGGAAGTCAATCAGAACATATGAGAACTTTGAGACATCAGTTGAAGGATTGAAATCTTTCTTCTCTAACATTAAGGTTAAACAAGATGCTTTATTAGATGTTACATTTGTTGTCTCAATAGTTTTTTAGATTTACTTTCTAATTTTTCACAGGAGAGGGTTGGCAACACCATTAAGTTACAAGATCCTGTTGCTGATTTAGAAGGTAATCTTCCTGATGCTTCAGCCAAAGAATCCATAAGGTTGAAAACTCAGAAATCAACCAATTCACAAGTCAGTGAAATGGGAATGGTTTCTGGCAGCATGAAGATGCCATCTACTGGACTTTCTCATTGTTTATCACGCAAAGCTGGGGGTATCTCTAATCATACGACAATAAGATCTCAAAGAAACAATGGAATCCAGGAACCTTCATCAACTCATGTGGAAGATATTGACAACCAGAAAGAGATTGACAAAGATTGCTATAGTTTGGAGTATGTCACATTTGATTCTTGTTTGTTCTATATTCTGTTACACAGTAACACTAATACTACAGCAACAAAACCTAAAGCCTTATTCCCAAAAGGATGGGTTCAGCCACATTAACCAAGAATCTATGAATTGGCTCGTTACATCTATAATTGAGATTATTTTTATTGTTTATTAGTAATATCTTGTATTTATCTAATTTTTTCTACCACATATCTACAATGCCATACATAATTTAAATCATGGATTCTTGAAAATATATATTTTGGGCAAAACTTTGATGTAAATAATATAATCCATATTTTTTTTCAAAAAAAACAAAAAAAAAAAATGTAACCCATTTTTCTGGCAATCAAAACCGTTTGTTATCCACCTATAACTGAGTGTATTTTTCTATAGGAAGTGGAAAATCGGTAATGTTCATGCTGTGTTGCTGACATTGAAGTCAACTTGAGCTCATATTCCAGTAATTGAAAATTGAGTTCTGACCCTTGCTAACCATCTTCCTCTTCAAGCTAATGAAAACATACTCTCTAAAATGCCCCTCCCCCTCACATTGATGCTTATCAAATTTCCTTGAAATATATTCTATCTAAATTGATTCCTAGCAAAGTCTGTTTTTTTTGTGCTAAATTCTTTTGCATGTGAATTATTCTCTGTTTACAGTAGTCAATGGCAATGTTTACTCAGGAGAATGTTACTGACATGGTTTCCTTCATTTTCAGGTACTGTGAAACACCTTGCACAGCTAATTTTGAAGAAAGGCTAGAACTTTCTGTTGTTAAGGAGACTCCTGTGGCTGGAAATTATGCTGTATTTAGTCCTGAGCCTTTCATGAACGAGGACAATTCTTATTCCACCATAATCCAGGCATCTGAGTTTGATCAAGCACATCATGTGTCTTTAACAGATTCAGCTCAGTCTCCTTCAAAAGTGACGTGCGCTGAAGTCACTCCAGAAAGGGTTGGCAGGGGAAATACCAAGGAGTTAGCACAGGAAATAGAGTCATCTGCAAACTTGAGTGTTAATTCTCATGCACAGAAAAGGAGGATGTTGCTTAATATACAGCAGATGAACACCATTCAGAAAATGAAGTTTGATGTGGGGAATGCAGAAAATAATCAGGACTTTAGAATGATGGATTATTCAGAGTTAAATGACAATTCAAGTCAAAGAACAAAATTTTCTAAGGTTAGTTTATCAGCATGTGAACTTAAGCCTAGCGCTCAACCTTATGTGGTAAGTGAGGGCAATATATATTCCAAGAGTGGGGGTTCCTGTACGGATCAACTATTACAAATTTTTTGCTCACTCTGCAAAAACCCACTTGGTCTTCCTGAAAACAGCTTGTATGCCACATGTTTCTTGACTTCAATATCAAAAATTATTTTGAGTAATCTTTCTAAAGGACATGGGCTGCAAAGTCTACGGACTTCACCATCTCTTGTGCCAGTTGTGATAGTGGATATATTATCAGTTGATCAGCGGCTTTATAATAGGAATAACAAAGATATTCCAGGTCAGGGTATCTGGTGCCAAGAAGATGGATGTGTATACAATTCCATATTCTGCCCTTTCTGCATTTCTACCAACCATTGTCTTGGAGTGCAGATCATGGCTGCTGATGCATTAAACACTCAGTTAATTGGAAAGGTAAGGCTATTGGCGGGTATTTTGCTTACAACTTGGATAGTTGGCTCTTGGCTGGGGTATTTTTCTGTGTCCTACACCTCATAATGGTGGTATTTGACCTCAAATTTCCTTACTCTATATAAGTCTGACTTTGCTTATTAATAACTATGCTTACCACAAGTACCTGCAGGCTAATACTTTTGTGATTTAACCTCTTTAATATAAGTCTGACCTCAAATAGTCTCTTTGCTATCTTGTTCTTTCAATGTTATTCAGTTATTTTCTTTTGTGCAGATACTCTTCTACTATGATCGTTTGGAGGTTAAGACTTGCCTAGGATCGGAGAGCAAGGTATTTCACTGGAACCTCTTGTAGTTCTTGTGTATGTTCCCAATAGAATTGCAGTTACTGTGGGTTTTTTGCAAACTACATTTGAGGGTAAGGTACTAAATTTGTTTAGATTTGTTAGTTGTGATCACAAAAAGTTTTATTCAAATATTTCTTAAACTTAATTCCAGAATTCTGAGCGTTTTACCTGACATGCTTGTAGGATTCTTTGATTGATAACAATTCGTGCCGAGATCAGACAGTTGGTATAAATTCTATTAAAAAATATGAATATCAATCTCAGCCGCATAGTCCAGGAAGCTGGAAATTGACGAAAGCAAAGGTGTGAATTACATTCAAATGGTCCTTATTTAGTTTCTATCGTAAACTTGTTTGATTTTGCCCCTCTATATCTTGCAGTCAAGACTACTGAAGAGAAGCCCTATGTCACAATCATAGAAGAAGATTAGTGACTACTGCGTACTGAGCTACTGGGCTCCGGTTAAGCTAGGCACTGTACAGCACATGTACGACACTTCAATAGAACATTTATTATTGACTATTAATCACATGTCAAGGGCACATATTTTAAGTTAAGGTGACTTGTGGTCGACTCGAGTTATGATGGCTTATAGCAGTGGGTTGGGTCACTTAGGTGTGCCTCTGATTTGTAAAGTTCAGCTTTTGGATAGATTCTCTAGAGGGGATGGTAACATGTCCGCAAGAATTTTGTGTAAAAATGTATAGTTAAACGGAAATCACCAATGTACAGAACGATTGAAGTTGTAATATATCAGGCTTTGTATAACATTTATGATGCTGATTGACTCAACAAAATATTTGATCATCTTTATTTGGTGTTTTTTTCCCCAATTGGCAGCCTATTCAGTTCTCCGTCTGCTGCTTCATAGTTCGTTATGGCTTGTTGCTGAGTTCAAATTTTTGTAAACAAAGAAATGGATTCGAGTCTTGGAAGTTGGAATACCAAGTAATGTTCATATTTTTGAATGGTTCTTACTTCCTAGCCTATTGATCAGTGGCAGTGAACTAGTAATTAATAGCTTTGGAAATTGCTACTTGAAGTAGCATTTGCTCACTGAACCGATTCAAAAAAAAAAAAAAAAAAAGGATTTTTTCTCCACTTATATAGACGATTTATCAGGAATTTTTGAAAAAATAGTTGTATACTTAGCTTGTAATTGCAACTTTTTGACTTTTTCGTACTCCCTCCGTCCATTTTTTACATTTCTGTTTGTGAAAATACACGAGAGTTAAAGAACTAAGAATAAAACAAGTAACAATAAAATAAAACATAATGAGAAGTACAAAACATTAAATGATGTCTTTGTGTAAAACAAAGATAGATTAATATTTAATGATGTCATGTCATCAATCATTTGTAAAAAAAAAAAAAAAAAAAAAAAAAAAAAAAAAAAAAAAAAAAAGGTAATGTTATATGTAGCCCTAAGGGTTATTAAAGCTTTTTTGGTGTAGCAGGCCACACCGTGTGGCCTACTGCCAAGTCAGTAAAATAACGGATTCAGATGCGCGCATAACGGCATGCGCATAACGGGGTTACTGATTTTGTCAGGGTTACTTGTATTTTTCAGGGGTTACTTGTATTTTTTTCAAGGGTGGGGTTATTTGTATTTTTTTCAGGGGTTACTTGCATTTTTTTTTTCAAGGGTTACTTGTATGGGTTAATTCAAGGGTTACTTGTATAAGTTACTTATTTAGGGGTTACTTGTTTGAGTTATTTCAAAGGTTACTTGTATGAATTACTTATCCAATGGTTACTTGTTACTTATTCAAGGGTTGCTTGTAGGCCCCATACCAAACCAGTATCACCTTACAAGTAACCCTTGACCAAAACTAGTAACACCCTACAAGTAACCCCTGACTAAAATCAGTAACACCCTACATGTAACCCCTGACCAAACCAGTAACACCCTTCAAGTAACCCTTGACCAAAACCAGTAACACTGTATAATTAATCCTTGACCAAAGCAGTAACACCCTACATGCAACCCTTGACCAAACAAGTAACACCCTACATTTAACCCGCGACCACCCCAGTAACACCCTACAAGTAACCCCTGACCAAAACAGTAACACCCTACAATTTTTGACGTAGAATGTTCGATCTAAGATTCCATGAAAAAAACGAACTCGAATTTCTTTGGTTCTCATTGATTTCACTACTTCAAATGTCGTTGATGATTTTAAGGATAATTAATCATAATTTTTCACAACAATTTGACACCCAATTTCTACAATTTCAGGCTTTAATTGCAGCAATTTGGCAAAGAGGAGAGAGAAAATGGGTGGAGTAGAGATATGGTCGTTGGTGATGTGTGGTTTCACTTGAAGAAAAAGCTAAGAAAAGAGGAAAGAGAAAATGGGTGGAGTTGAAAAATGGTTGTTGGTGATGTGTTATTTGGCTTGAACACAACAAGAATGAAGTTGTTTTCCGATGGACAAAATCAATTGGAAAAAATAATAAAAACCGTCGGAAACTAAATTACCGATGGCAGCCATCGGTAATTGTCCGTTGGAAGCCCATATATCGGTAATCCAAACTTTACTGATGGAAAAGCCATCGGAAAAATAATTACCGATGGGGAAACACATCGTGGAATATTATATCCACCGATGGTTTTATCCATCGGTAATAATTTCCAATGGCTAAAAACCATCGGTGTTTTTATTTTCCGATGGTTTTTTGTCATCGGTTTTATTAAATCACCGATGGTTTTTTACCGTCGCAAAATTTTCAAAAATTACCGATGGCATTTTAACCAACGGAAAATGATAATTTCCGATGGTGTTATTGTAGGGAATATTTTCAAGCCTTTAAAATCCCACTAGCTTGAACCCCACTGTGATCATACACTAAAGTACGGTGGCGTCCAAAAGGGAAGAAAATAGAGCAAAAGAGTCGCCAACAAGTTTTTAAGGAACTTGTAAACCATTCACGAGGTGAAGGTTACACCCCTTAACGATCCAAGAGATCGTCAACTCCATAAGGTCATGAACCAAATAAGGGTTCGGGGATGAAGGTACAAATCCAACCTAAAAGAGATTGAACCTGCCCTAATAATAGGCCTCTACTTTATTCTGATCGTATTCATGTGCGCTTTTCAATTAACATGCAATCAATAGGATTACCCTAAACCTGTTTATCTATGTTGGTTGAATATAATGCACAAATAAACTATTATTGGCGATCACTTGAATTATAATCATATTAAACCTAACAAGATTATTAATTATCTTATTAAGCGTAATTACAAATACCAATTCCCTTTAACATGCATAAAAGGTGTGATCAAGCAATAAATAATGTCAAGCAACATAATAAATAATCAATATCATGAATAATAATTAATAATCATCATAAAAATAATAATAATAATATTTATAATCATTATAAATTATAACAATTATAATAATAATCATGTTCATGTTAATATTAAAGCATAATAATAATAATAGCAAGATCCTAGGCATGATACTAACAAGATTAATAACAAACCCTAGCATGTCACTAAGCAATAAAAATCAAATCTTTAACCCTAACATGATACTAACAATCATAAATATTAGGAAGAATATAGAAAGCATCGTAACAATCACATTTAATATTAAAAATACCCTAGACATGATACTAGGAATATCATAATAACAATGTAAACATGATTTCTACATCATAATATCAATAAATCAATTAAAGTACTTACTTTGATGCTTCGTATCTCTTTCTAATAACAAAATACACACGTTAGTAACTTCAAGGAAAATAATAAGACAAAACAATTAAATTAAATAATTGAAAGAGAGATTTGGGACCAAACCCTCATAAATTAAAACCTTTCACGTCTAGGGCGAAGGCAACTTCGAACATGGCTAGGTGTTTCTAGATCTTGTGAATGCGGAATTTTGTATAAGAAAACCAAAGTTTAGAGGAAAGATGAATGAGGGAGATGAATGAAAGAATGCTAATTAAAACTAATTGTTGAGGAAAACATGTGAATGAGGAGAATTCGTGAATGAATGGTGAATGATAGATGTAGATGATGATCGAAAACGGAGTTTTTAATACGATATTTATAGAGAAAATCAGCCAAAAAAGATAAATTAACAAAACAGAGTCTGACGCTCAGGAAACAGAGCTGGCGCCAACCCTGGCTAGCTTGCGCCAGGCACCAGCACTAGCGCCAGGCGCCAAGGCCTGGGGTTGGACGCCAAACTTGATTTTAACACGTTTTCGAAAATCCTATAAGTTTACCGTACTGGAGGATAAAATAATATAATTTCTTCGAAAATGCTATTTGATTTTGATTAAAACTCTGAAAAGTCAACAAAGTCAACTTATCAATGCTAATTGAATTAAGAATGAAAAGAACCTTCTAGAAGAATCTAGAAGACTAAAACCATTCCTAATTGCATTAGGAATGATAAATCATATTAGGCCCTCTCCAAGATCATTGGGCCGCACATAAAGCTCAAACCGGGCCCAGTTTGGTAATTTGGCCATAATTTCCTCAATATTCATCGGAATTGGGCTTATAATATATCGTTGGAAAGCTCTTTGCAAGCCCTATCCAACTACACTACTATTGGACCCATATCATTGACCAACCAAACTGGATTGGCTGTTTTCTTAAAATAAGTTTTCAAAAACAGAAATAAGAGAAAAGAAATAAAAACTTTCCGCAACACTAGACCTTTCCACACTTTCGTTTCATTCGATTATGATTCGACGTGAAAGGTACTCATCACTGAGTTTGGTTTTGGGGAGACACAAATGGGTGTCTACAGTTATCCATCGGTAAAACAATTTTTAAATATATATTGCAAATTTTTCCGATGGCTATAAGCCATCGGTAAAAATAAAAAGCCATCGGTAATTGTTTTTGTTTTTTTTTTTAAAAATAAAAAATAGTTACTGCTTATTATTGGCGATATTATCAAACCTGTTATGTACCATATTGAGAACCTGCATTTTAATGAAACCTGATCAAGCTAAGCGTATAAAACTACAAAGTTGTACACCCGAAATAAAAAATGGAAACATATATCTTACTTGATGCATACACACTAAGTTCATAATTTTTTCGAAATAAATAAAACAACCGAGTTCTTACTACCATACTAAGTCAAAAGGTCATGCTAATCTAAGTCAAAAGGTCAAGCTAATCTAGATACGAAGCCCTATACACATGATGCCCCTGAACTACCACCCGCTTCTGGTTCATCATCGCGATGTTGCCTAGAAAACGGGGAGTAGTCAAAGTTGTGGGACCCATACTACAACATTCCTCTTTTAATTTCCTCAAGCAAAAACTCTTGTCTCTTCTCCATTTCTGCTCGTTCGGCGGCCAAAGTTTTATCCACTTGTGCCTGAACCTATGCCTGTACTCGTGCCTCCACCTCATTCTGCACTTGTGTCTGGAACTTGGCTTGGAATTGAGTTTGCATTGCTTGCACCCTCTCTTCAAATTGTGTCTGTAACTAACTGAGACACAATGGACGATGTGTATGATTGGGAAGCACCATGTCGTGCTGGAGTGCCATAGTACAAGTGATCACTCTGACCTAGTCCTTTCACATAACCCCTGTTTCGGCCCCCAGCTGCCTCAAAGTACGCCCGGTTGGGATCACAAGCCACACCCTGACTACTTGATTCATCCATTCTTTTCTTGAAACGTTCCTGCAATTAACATGTTTGCTTATATTAAAGGAACGAAATAACATGGTATACTAAACATCTAAGTTATAAACATTCATATAATTCACACTAGTTATAACTTTCTAACACTTCACATAACCATTATTTTGCATATTTAAGAGTTTTAAGGTTCAATGTGCACGAAACTAGTTCAAAATGGGCATATTTTGGTACTTGCTTTCCTATAATCCACATACTCATGCAAATGGTTGAATAAACACTTGAATCATGCCTTAAACATGTAGTTACAACTTTCTAACACTTCACATAACCATTATTTTGCATATTTAAGAGTTTCGGCAGCATTTCCCTACAGTTCTCCAAGTACACAATATGAGTAGTTATGTATACTTATATGTGTACCCAGAGAACAGATTAGGAAAACACGTATCCAAAATTTTCCATAGAATCAATAACAAGGCATACAATAACCACCTAAGTGAGAATGAACGTCCAAGAACAGTCCCAACCGGGGACTATTCAAGACATACACATTCG